TGTGTGCGTGTGTGTGTGTGTGTGTGTGTGTGTGTGTGTGTGTGTGAGAGCCTATACAGTGTCTGTTTAGGTAGCCCGCCTAGAACTGCGGGCTACAAAGGCCTTTATTTCTTTAATTTTAAAAAATAAAGTCAATGCTGTTGTTGTTGTTGATCTGCAATGTGCTGTTAGTATTCACTGAAACTGAAGGGTTATACAAAAATAGCTTGTGCTACGCCAGATACGAAAAACCACTAAAAAAACCACTCTTTAGAAGTGGCCAAAAAATATGTGGAAACGTATTCCTCATCCAATGCAGCAGCACTATACCCCGAGGAAAGGGTTATTAAAGTAAACCTAGTTATTCTATTAATCACACAGAAAATTCAATGAAAGCAGTGATATTTTATAGAGAGTTGTAAAACAAACTTACATAAAAAAGAAAAAAAAGAAAGTGGTCAAACCTAAGACTGACCGACCCAGAATGACTTGATTTTCCTGCGAAACGCTTAAATAATCCGAAACTACCGTGATGCTCTTCAACGTGCCGTCAGGATATAATTGCTGACTAATTCGTTCCCATGTCACTCAAACGTCAGAAATTACATTTTTCGGCTAAGGCCTAGTCCACACGTATCCGGATATTTCGAAAACGGAGATTTTTTTCTCCGTTTGCAGCCCTGTCCACACGTAAACGGCGTTTTTGGCGACAAATACGGAATATTTTTAAATACGATCTCCAGACTGTAGATGTTTAAAAACGGAGATTTATTGTATTCGTGTAGACGGTGGAAAACAAAGGTTTTTGAATACGACGACGTCAAAGTTAGGGTCTAGTGCGTGGTGGGACAACTTCGTTTACAGAATCGTCATCAACGAGGAGTGAGTAACTTTCAAAAGTAGTTCAAAGTTCATCGTCTGACCACAAGAACGAGTCCGTCATCCCTTTCCCTTTCGATTTACTTGCCTGTTTGGAAGATTTTGGCGTTTCATTACTTGTTTTTCGGAAGAAATTGGGATCTTAACAGCCTGAATTACAGAAATAAAGCGGAGAAATTCACACGAGGAGAACCCAAACAAAGATCGGGGAGGCTAGTTGGGATTCTTAACAATGTTATGTTCAATTCGAATTATTTGTTTATAGCCCACAATGTAAACTACTGGGTTACCAGTAATTAAGTTAGCTATTAAAGTTAATTAATTAATTAATTTATTTATTTAAGATGGCGGCAAACTCTCTGATTTTCGCAGGCTTATTCTTATCACAGTGCGCATGCGCAATTAGCCTGTGCATGCTCCGTATGTAAAGTCTAGCGTATTTATAACGTAGTCGCGTTTACATGTGGACGGGCAAATACGATTGTAATACGGTTCGTGTGGACGCGGCTGTTTTCGAAATCCAGAGAAAAAAATCTCCGTTTTCGAAAATATCCGGATACGTGTGGACTAGGCCTAAGTCCGGCTGCACCAGATAAAGAAAAAAAATCAGTTGCGGAGCTCTGGGAGTGAGGTGCAGCACGTTGAAATCCAATTTTTTTCTCACTGAGTTTTTTTTTGACTTGTGCAACGGACTTTGCCGAAAAGCAGGGACTAATCGTAGTCGGGAGCCATTTACGCAAATATTTTACCTTCACCCTCCCCTCTTTGGTTCTGCAAGGGATCGGAGAGAAGACTGGTAATTAAAGGTCGAAGGAGCACGATGTCGAGCTCAGAGAAAGAAAACACCATCATTTGGCATGAAACTTTTTGAGAAAATGGCTCTTCAGCATCACATGGCTTCTAAATGACATAGATCTTCATATGATTCCTTCCTCCAGATACCACGGGAGTGGTCACAGAGGCTTAAAAAAACACAAAAATCGCGAATGTTGATGTATACACTATCACCGCTGAACAACAAAACATCTAAAAGTCGTTCAGGCAAGGTATTTCTCAAGGCTGTTCTGCTTTTCTTTTTCATTTGATTTCTTAAGCCGTTTTTCCCGTTAAATTTATTTTCATGCGTGGAAAGGTATTGTTGAATTCGTTTAAAATTATTTTACTACCTCAACGCGGGAAATTTAAATATTTTCCTTAGAGCACTGCACCTAAATGGCTGCATCTGTTGCAGACGGTAGATAACTGTATTTGCGGTATACTTTCCATTGTAGCCAGCATACAATATAGGTGAATCTTGTGTAGACAATGTCAATAGTTGTATCCATTTCAGACAGAGTAGATAGCTGTAAGTAACTAGTGTAGACTCTGCTTATTTAACAATTGGTTGATGCTTAGATATACATGCATTAATGAGCAAGCGTGAGGTCAAGATGGCTGGAAATTAGTAAGGTTCTGCTTTTTATGTTTTAGTGGACGGAGACCAAGTCAAGGTCCATGAAACTGCAAAAACACTGGCTAATATCCAGCCATTTTGATCGAACAAGCTTGGGAAATAAAGGATTTATTATATAGCAAAAAGATTTCTTATTGTAGAGAATCAAGAATTCATAGGTGTACAAGGCAGGGGGAGGCTGCAGCCTCCCCAGCTGCAGAAATTATGTAATTTTTTGGTCAAAACGCTCTTAATTCGGGCAATGACACTTGGGAGAAAACATTAGAAAATAATGCTGTTGGTGTGATTTCCAGAGGTTGTAAATAAAGTTTCTAGTTAATTACTTTTCAGGTGATTAGATGCCCGAAGGTGGTGTCTTCAGAGATTTTTTAATTTGAATTCATGTAAAATGTAAAGTGTATCATTTTGCTAACATCTGCTGCAGTTCATGCCTAATTTTCGCGCCAATTTCGCGGAGATCGGGAAAACATTTTGACGAGTTCACATGAAGGTTTAGGTTTCCTCAATGAAGTTCATTTGATTCTTTGTGAAGTCCGTGGAGTTGAAAGGTTCAAGAAAACGGGAAAAGCTGAGGTGACTAAAGGTCAAGCAGCCGTCAAGGTCAATAAGGTGAAAGGTAAATACTACACAAATTCCATTTAGTAATTCATTTATTCTGTTTAATCGATTCTATCCTTAAATCTCAGCATTAAAGTATCACATAATACAAGCTGATGTCACCCACCTGGTGACTACCAGGTATTGACAGCTTTTTCGGCCTTTATTGTCCCTAAATGAAATGATATGTGGTATCTGGTAAAGACTCTTGGAACTGAATATTATTTATTCGTATATTAGTGTACTGCATTTGGCAGACATTATCTTCATCATTATTCATATTTATTCATCGGTGTAGTTTTGCTAATTTAAATTTTTGTTCGATGTTGACATACTGCACTTCAACATGCTAAAAGGCAGAATACCCGCTTTTCAAAATGGATCTGGTGATGGATCAAGAGCCTGATAGAAGAAAAAGAAAACGCCCTTATCATCAACACGTTATTTATGCAGAATGTAAGAGAGAAGTTGATTCTGATTATAAAGATAATCATGCCATGACTGTGCATAAAGGCAAGAAAGTAGCTTTTGTGATGGTGCGCGAGTGCAATCAGAGTCAACTTGCTTTTTCTAATAAAAGCTCCATGGAGTCGCAGCTGTCAAAGAAGCTTTTCAGAGCTGTCGTTCAGCTTGATGCTCATGACAACGAAGGTATTAAGAATGAACATACGGTGACCACTCACAAGCCACTACCAGGAATTGGTTCAATAGTCTTCGAGGATAGTCAGAATGACAAATTACAGTCAAATCCATCCCGTGACGGTCACACTATTGAAAGCAAAGTAGAGCCCATTCCTCCAAGATCAGAAGCACCACTTAGTTCCTGTTCGAATGTACAAACCCATTACATCGACGCAGTTGAAATTTCACTTGTGCCAGTGGTGTTGGAACTAGATGACCCAGATGTGTTTGTTCCTCTTCAGGAATCTATTAGAGAACCTGAGCCCTCCCCACCTCAAACTGTCGAAGTAGCGATGGAGCCTGAAGTCAGTGAGATGATCATGCTGTCACAAAGAGATGATAGTACAGTAGGTGAATTAAGGCCAGCCACAAGTGATGGGCCTCAGCAACCGGTTCTTTCCGAATACAACCCACAAAACTTTGGAAATGAAACATTCACCAGAGATTTCCAGCCAAAGTGGTTCAAACCATATCCTTGGTTGAACTACTCAGTAGATAGAAAGGTAGGAACTTGCTATGTGTGTTCCACGTTTACATTTTCCAATTGGAAGAAACCTGAGTGCCAAAACACCATCAAAGTGAGAAGCACTCATTGGCAATGAGGCGATGACAAAGTGGCTGGATTACCGCCAGATGCAGAGGAGATCCTCATCTATAATCAGCGTCATGGTGCATCCAACATAATTGTGAGCTTTTACGTGTAATCATTGAATGTCTTTTTTACACTGCCCAGCAAAACATCGCTCAAAGAGGTCATAAGGAGGATTGATCTAACCTTGGACAAAGATCAGATGTCAACAGGGGTAATTTTCTGGAACTTTTGCACCTTCGATGTAAAGATATTCCTTGGCTTGAAGAAACATTGAACACTCAGTTACAAAACCACGCTCAGTGGACTTCGCCAATCATCCAGAATGAACTGCTAGAAATTTTTGCTGACCTCATAATTGCACTTATCTGTAAGGACGTAAGAGAGAGCAGTCGGTACAGGATTATAATTGATGAAACGTCTGATATAAGCCGAGACGAGCAAGTGTCATTTTGTCTCAGCTATACAGTGAACAGTAAGTAAGAAGCATTTGTTGGAATTCATGCAACGAATACAACAGATGGTGAAACTCTTTACAAACTAGTCAAAGAAGTTATCAACAAGCTGCAGTTAGAGCTTGAGAATATC